AGATGGTGGTCTATGTTACTCTGGCAGCCTCCTCGCGGCACACCTGGGTTCCATCCCAGGCAAATCTCTAACAGTAATTAGTAGTTAAAGTGTTGGGGGCCACATCCTCAAAAGAACCTCGCGACCTGTCTCGATATGCTAGGGGGAAGGACTTTTGATCCTGAGAACTGAAGTTGCTCTGCCCTCCCTCGGATCAAGCTTGAGTGTCTCCTACTGCATTGGCCTCTATGGTTTTAGTGCTTTCCATAATTATATAAAAGATTTCATATAAATACATTTGCGTTGTCTTGTGGGTATCTCATACCATCACATACTCTGGGAATATATTTTTTATTATTATTAACATATCGCAGAATGCAACGGACAAGTGAAGTGGTAGCAGCAGCAACATACACAGCAAGAGGCATTCTTAAGTTTCCCTAGCGCTTGGGCTTTAATGCCCAAAGCTGGAGTGTGGCTCCAAAAGGCTTGCCGCCTTTGCACTTCCTGACATCGTCTGCTGCTATGCAGCTGCCACACCCTTCGAGCCTAGTGTGGGCAGGGTTTGTGGCAGCCCAAGGTGCCTAGCTTCTCCCTTCGAGCCTCATGGGGACGGGAAATGGGGCTAGGCCTGGGGACAGCTGGTTCCAGAAGACGAGGAGGTACTTGTACCTCCTCCCATGGCAGACATTGATCCGAGACACTCCCACGACAGGGAGCCAAGGCCGGGCCACCTCTTGAAAAAGGCCTGGGCCCGGCGATTATACCGGCGAATCTACAACAGAACATTAACACATCGGCCGTTTCCCACCAGGCAGGGTGACTTAAAAAAACGAAGGAACACTTTCATCACTCACACCATCACTGTCTTGCCAGAGGCCCGCCGACACTAGAGTTCAAAAACTGCAACATACCTCCACTTTTCCTTCAGAGTGCAGGAACTTTACTTCCCACCTTCAGGACACAATATGCCTAACAATTTTTTATTGGGACAACGTTTTGTTCAGGGTAGAGCATTATTAAGTCATGCGCGAAACGTCTCTACATTACAAGTTTGCCCTACTTATTCAAGTCAAACCCACAGTTGTGAGCCCGTGTGGGCACTACCACTGTATATCCTTCTAACGAAATATTTTATTGAAAGCAAACATAAAACAATAAACTAAAAAAAATCTTTGTATTTCAAAATCATGCATTATACAAATACAGCCTTGAGACAACAAAGAACTAGCTTTATCTAGTGCCACAACTCTAACTAGTGCATCATCTTCAAACAACATAAATGAATGTTATGTTTTAGGACTTTTTATTACACAGTAATGATTTTTTGTTGAATCTAATTTTATGAAAATAGTGATGGAAATTTTTGTAGACATGTGCAACAACCTGTTACACTGCTTAACATTACGCTGAACATTAAAATTTGTCTAAATTATTTGCTTTGAATGGACAGAATTTCGACTCAAGGATATGTATATACACCGAGGGTTGTATGTCTCTCAGTGTATATATTACTTTAATCTCTATTTAAGGTATTAAAGTATTCCTGACTGGTAGTGAACAGGCGACTTACAACGTCATGACCCTCCCGTGTGATCGATGGGGTTTCAGCTCCATTAACTAGCCACCCTATGATCAAAGCCATTTAGCCTATCGCACCATTCCTTGACTAATCTGATTGCCTCTCATTTCTCAGTTTCTGCATAGTTCTAGTTTTTTTCCCCATGAACATAATAGCTTACCGGGCAGAGGGAGACAGGCTGGGCGTGAGTACCACTTGTATTCAACCTTGTGGTTGAGTTTGATGAGGGCAATGTCGTTGTTATAGGTGGTATGGTTGAAGTGCGGGTGGTAGATAGCGTAGACGACTCTGTACTCCTTGCTGTTGGTCTCTATGGGAAAACTGCGGATGTGGTCACCCACCATCACCTGCAGGCTGTGCACGCTCACTCTGCAACATTACCACGCTACATATTACTCATTATATATACACGGAGAGATATCATTAAAATGGTACACAGTATCGACAAGTAGATGAATAAGTCACATGTGCCTCATTCAGGTATCTTTTTTTGCCGAGACTTGTCGGCACTAAAGGTGGTCAAGTGTTGTATATATACTTATTCATCCACGGAAAGGTATACAGTGTATACACTGTATATACCTTACATTCATTCAGTTTACACACACTATACCTTTCATTCATTCAGTGTATACAATGAATGTACTTTACTTCCAATTTTGAGGATAAACGTATTCTTGCTATAGGTGTGAAGCCATTTCAGAGGGGTAAAGAAAATGCTAATTACTACCATTATGACCCACCTCTCAGGATAGATACACTGAGAAGTGCACCTCTCATTGTATATACACTAACAAGTACACCTCTCGGTATGTATTCACCGAGTCCACCTCTCAGTGTTCATACACTTGAGAGGCACACCTCTCGGTAGGTATATGCTTCAACAAATAGTGCGGTTAACCACAAATATGAACGGCGGATGTGGGTGAGGTGGAGACACTACTTGCGTACAGCCGAGTAAGTACGTATTTCACACATCTTGATATAATCTTCTTGACTGACGGCAGTACTCACGGACGATCCTGCATTAAACTGGTACTATGTTAGGCAGGCTGGTCCTGAGAAATGGTATGGTGATACCGACAAGATGTGGAAAAAGACACTTATGTAGAGTTCAGGACATTTATTAAAGGAAACGTTTCGCTACGAGTGACTTCTTCAGTCCCAATATAGAGAAAACTAAGAAACGAGTATATATAGTAGCAGGAGTCAGGTGGAAATCCGGGAGGGTAGCAGTAGCAGTAGTTGTACAATTGTGGTGAGATGGGTTTGAGAAGGCCCTGTCAGCATCATGTTACAGCGATCTCCAGACAGGGTAATATCCTGTTGAATAGTAATTTTAATATAGTGTAACTTCCGGGCTTATGATGGATAGTGTTACAGCAATTAAGGCAGCCTCTACACACTTTAGCCGTCTTAAATCTTCATTAATGACTAATCTAGCCTCACTGAATTTCATGAGGTGTCCAACATCGTCCCTGCCTTGAACACGCGTTTCTACGTGGATTATGATTGCAAGCGTTTCTCGAGGAAGAATGCACATACATCACACATTCTTTCAGTTCACTACACTTCCCCTATACTTTATACATGATTGCAGGAAACGTGTGACACGCATCCTTAACAAGACTAATAACAATCCAGTTGAAGGAAAGCCTCTCACTTACATCGTTCTACCGTCAGCGATGTTGCAACTAACGTTTCTAAAATAGTTGTACAATCTAAAATATTTGGCAGAAAATCTGCCAAAATATCCACCAGCTCTTCAACTACTATTAGAAACACAGTGCAAAAAAAAAAAAAAATGACTGACACGAGCGTAGGAGTGTACACTATACCACTATGTGACAAAGTATGTGTGGGGGAAACAGCCAGATAACTGGATACTAGGATCAGGGAACATAACGCTTGTAACCGTGATGACTGTAAATAACGCGTCCCCTCAAGGAAGGTTCCTTGATGTTGGTGAGGGGCTCTTGATTTAGGGAATTGGATCTGTGCTCCAGTTCCCCGAATTAAGCCTGAATGCCTTCCACATCCCCCCCCCCAGGCGCTGTATAATCCTCCGGGTTTAGCGCTTCCCCCTTGATTATAATAATAATAATAATGTAAATAACGCGTGTATTCCACGCAGGAATTCAGTGAGGCTAGATCAGTCATTAAGGAAGATTTAAGACCGCGAAAGTGTATAGATGCTGCTCTAATTGCAGTCGGTAACACTAGCCGTCAAAAGTCCGGAAGTTACATTATATCCAAATTGCTAATCAACACGATATTACCTGAACATCAAAATGGTATACAATACCGACAGGTTGTTAGGTTAGACACATATGCAACAGTTAGACAACTTTATTCCGAAACATTTCGCCAACACAGTAGGCTTCTTCAGTCGAATACAGAAAGTAGGCAGGAACAGTAGAGATGTGAAGACGATGTAATCAGTCCATCACCCTTAAAGTCGTAGAATTTGAGGTTGTCAGTCCCTCAGCCTGGAGAAGTTCAGTTTCATAGTCAGGAACTATCTGAAGATCAAGCGACAGTGCGGAGACTTAAATACTGTAGGGAGGAGAGGTGCAGAGTATTAGTAGTAGTGAGAATGTAGCCACTGAGAGGTCATGTCCCTCTCAGATCCAACACTTCTCACTTGAAAAGGTTGTCCAAGGTGTTTTCTGTACCAAGATGCCATGTGTTGCAGTGTCTGACAAGATGAACATCAAAATGGTATACAATACCGACAGGTTGTTAGGTTAGACACATATGCAACAGTTAGACAACTTTATTCCGAAACGTTTCGCCTACACAGTAGGCTTCTTCAGTCGAATACAGAAAGTAGGCAGGAACAGTAGAGGCGTGAAGACGATGTAATCAGTCCATCACCCTTAAAGTAGTAGAATTTGAGGTTGTCAGTCCCTCAGCCTGGAGAAGTTCAGTTTCATAGTCAGGAACTATCTGAAGATCAAGCGACAGTGCGGAGACTTAAATACTGTCGGGAGGAGAGGTGCAGAGTAGTAGTAATAGTAGTGAGAATGTAGCCACTGAGAGGTCATGTCCCTCTCAGATCCTTTTCAAGTGAGAAGTGTTGGATCTGAGAGGGACATGACCTCTCAGTGGCTACATTCTCACTACTACTACTACTCTGCACCTCTCCTCCCGACAGTATTTAAGTCTCCGCACTGTCGCTTGATCTTCAGATAGTTCCTGACAATGAAACTGAACTTCTCCAGGCTGAGGGACTGACAACCTCAAATTCTACGACTTTAAGGGTGATGGACTGATTACATCGTCTTCACATCTCTACTGTTCCTGCCTACTTTCTGTATTCGACTGAAGAAGCCTACTGTGTAGGCGAAACGTTTCGGAATAAAGTTGTCTAACTGTTGCATATGTGTCTAACCTAACAACGATATTACCTATTCTGGAGACCGCTGTCGCATGATGTTAACAGGTCCTTCTCAGACCCAACTCATCTCACCACTACTGTACTACTACTACCGTCGCGGCTCTCCACCTGACTCCTGCCACTATATATACTCGTTTTTTAGTTATCTCTGTATTAGGACTAAAGAAGTCACTCCTGGTGAAACGTTTCCTTGAATAAATGTCCTGAACTATACGTGTCTTTTTTTCAACAGATTGGTCCTGCATTAGGCAGGCTGAACCTATAATAGACAGGCTGGACCTATAACAGGCAGGCTGGTCCTGATTAAGCGGACTCTACCGAGGCAAGCTCTTAGATTTAGGTGAGCTCTCATATAAAGTTCATCTATATAGTGTATGTTTAAGCCGATGTATGGAGTCCACTTCCACCATACTCCACTATTACTCATATTATGATGAAGAAATGTTTCTAGGTATTCCTGCACTTCACTTGGGTAATCTTCAACCATGTAATATTGTTCATGGTTCAGTCCAGGTAAAGTACCTATCCCGTCTATGCCTCAGAGAATTTGGCAATTCTTGAGTATGTCCCCCACTAGTCATTCGTTTTTCCGTAAACAGGCCTGGTGTTATTAATTCAGAGATTAATTCCTTCATCTCAAACGCCAATCTGAATGCTCTCTTTCCCACTTTCTAAGAGTTTCACTTTGTTTTACTAGGCAAGAGCTCCATATGGTCTGCATACTCATGAATAGGTAAACACATGAGTAAGAAAATGTGTTTTAGAAGTATCATTTTTATATATATTTTTGAGTACCATTGTTATATTTGTAAGCTTGGCCTGTGCTAGCGATGTTATTCTCTCTATGTGCTTCAAGGAACAGGTTTAGGGAAATAATTACAGGTATATTTCTCTAACCGCATATATATGAGCTTAGTCCACTTCAAATTGTAATGTTTTCAGTCTCTGTTGACCGTCTCTAAATATTATTTTGGTTTGTAAATTATTTAATATGTAATTATTAGTTAAGTTTAGAGCTTATAATATAGAAGGAATGTTTCATCGTCTGGCAGCTGAAACAATATTTAGAGCTTGTAATAATGATGCTTTCTCTACCATATTTTGTGTATAGTATATTTGTAAGTTATTTGTGATATGGAGGAAGTGGTGTAGGTGCTTAGTGTCACTTAGTACATTTACAGCTGCATAAGAAGCAGTGGGCATGGTTGTGTTTACCAGGTACACCGACGCCCTGGAATATTACACTTCCACCTTCAACACCACATAACAAGAAAGGACACAGATTCCTTACACTGTTGACACAGGATTCTGCTTCTGACTCTCGCCTCGGCAGGTCATAGCAGCTCTCCTTACTTGTTCAGTCTCCCTACGATCCCCGTTGGGGAGGAGAACCTGTACCATCTCCACGATGTCTCATCGTGTAAGAATTAAGCCCAAGTCTGCTGTCGTTGATGACACCACGAAGCTCGAGCTTGCAACCTCACTCAGCACTTATCTTCACGCCAAATTCTCCAAGATTACTTCACTGAAAGAAGTCTTCATCGTCACCTTTCTTGATGATGCTGAAGCTGACAAAGTACTTACACCTACAGCCATGAAGACATTAGATGACCGCGGTTTTACCATCTCCACGTCACCATACATGCGTGCAAAACGTTGTGTGTTCATGAAACGTCTTGACAGGCTAATTACGAACATGTCTATCGAGGAAATTACGTCATCACTTGAAGACCTCAACACTTGGGCCAAGATTGACTCTGTTGCAAAGATCCCCAACGCTTCCTCGATGCTCAAGGTCACGTTTCTGGACGTTACCATGGCGACCAGAGCACTGTCTGATGGCCTGGCCATCTCTTACTACTTCATCAACCCTCGACAGATTGAACCTGAACGATTCACGTACATAACACCTTGTTGGACATGTAACTCGTATAATCACTCTACTGCCGACTGCCACGTGAAGAATAAGAAGATATGTTCCACTTGTGGGTCTGCAGATCACGACTTTCGCTCCTGCACTTCCACTGCTGCTCCCACTTGCATCAACTGTAAGAGTGATCACCATACTCTTGCAGCCAAATGTCCAGTACGCAAGGATATCCTCTCTAAGAAACTGAAAGAAGAAACTAAGAAGTCTACCGGAAACTCTCCTACTTATGCTGCTATAGCTAAGCTTCAGACGACCACCACCAAGATCCTACAAGCCACTCAGCAACCTCCACCACTCACAGCCTCTCCTCTACCAGACGATATTTCCACAAAATTCTACTACTGCCTGATGTATGCAGCTAACCCGGGTTGTTTCAATACAACTATGAATGATATTCTTGCCCTCAACAATCTGCCATCATTCAACTTTCCAGCTAGTCCTGCTTCAGCCGATGTTTTGAAGATTATCCCAAAAATCGTCAGTTTCGAGGCACCAGATGACTTGCAAGATTTGATTTCTGAAGAAGCCACCGGCTCTACTTCGCAATCCACCAATGAGAGACCAGTCACCGCCAATGCCAAGAACCAATCAGAGCCCTCAATGCCTCACGTGCCTCCACCTTCCCCCACCAATGAGAAACCGCCTCCAACGCCAGCCACCACATTCATCAAGACACGAGCAGCGTCCTCGTCTTCCAATCCCAACAAAACTGACCAATCATCGACTTCACCTGTCGCTCAATCTAAGGATAAACAACACTATAATACGATACGTGGCGTCTCCTTCTTCACTACTCCTGAGTATCCTAAAGAAATGGATGCAAAGACATTGATGCCCCTCCTCCAGAGCGACGAAGTCAAGTTCGTCTGTAGACCATCACGTGGTCTCTTCCTCAGAAAAGTCATCGATCTCCTTAATGCTCCAGAGATCGACCCAGACCTCAAATTTAGACTCATGACCATGCCAATACCGAAGTTCCAGACTCTTCCTAATGGGACAATAGCTTAACACACCTCAAGCCGACCTCCACCAGTACAACTCATCCTGCTTGCTGCCTTCTGACACTCCCAGCTCCTGCCGCTGCCTTCGCCATCCTCTCCTAGGAAGCCAAGTACCGACATCATTCAAGCCTCTCCATCTACGCCTCCAGTACTTCGGTACCACATGTCCCAAAGTGGTTGGGCCACTTGCCTTGATTCCTCCTCTTCCCCTCCTTCCCATCCTTTTTCAGTATTTCCATCCTTCCTTATCCTTCTTCCTTCCCATCTTACGACAGCTCTCGTCGTCTTCGATTCGATTCGATTCCGACGCCCTCCAACCCATCATACTAACTTGCTCGTAGAAGCAGGTGTTCTCTCATCTCCTGACGAGAATATGAGCTGGAGTTGTTCTGTCGCCATTTGACATTACCTCACATATGTGTGTATAGTCTCTCAATTTTTAAATGTTTTTCTCTGAGAGTCTTTCGCTTTCTATGCTTAGGCTGCTTATGTGTACCTGATGAATCTGCTCATCTTAGTTTTGTTTGTATACGAGTACTTGTATCAGATATTTAAGTTTGCAGTTGTTGAGGTCATGTTCTGGTCCCGATTCTAGCTTGTGATGTGTTTATGTAACTTACCCTAGAAGTAGAACTCACAGGTAAGGACCCACAGAGGGTGAGGGAGAAGTGAGGAAAGATGAAGAATAGGTGGGGAGAGGAAAAGGCTACAGAAAAAGAAAACGAGCCGGGGTTAAACACAGTAGCAAAGGCATTGTAAGGCTTGTTGTGCTCTTCAAAAGAGATGGACGGTGTGGCGGCGCTTAAACAACTCTAGGCAAGGCTCCTCTCTTAACTACACAGTGACGCATGTCTATGGCTGTGGTATTTAAAAACAAGGATCAACCTACCCTCTAATGCAGTGAGCGGCGGTGAGGACATATCTATCGCTGATGAGCGTACCACCGCAGTAGAAGTGGTTCTTGTACATGAGGGTGACCATCCACGGGTACTCGTTAAACTCAGCGTAGTTACCCCCCACGACCCTGGCCCGCCGGTTGGGCAGACCACACGCTGTAAGGCAGGAACTGCTTACATCATCAAAATCAACTAACTGAAACTATTAGACAATAATGATTACACTTTCACATATACCTTATTGTGTAAAAAATATGTTTAACAAAAACGTTCTTACCGCACTTATAATAATATATGAAAAAAAGCTCTGTATAAGACTACATTTTACTAGGAATTTCATATTTAATATTCTCCGTTTGCAAGCTTGTATATACTATTTGGGGTTGTACATATTGCTCTCTCAATGTGTATGCAACGAGAGGAACAGTGCAGGTACATATGGAGGGATATTTATCAGTAATGTACACACCTAGAGTTTTCTTTTAATTTCACTGTGCCCATATTTGGGCTCAAGGTATTCTGATGGGTGGAAAAGAGGCAACATGCAGCCTTAATGACCTTCGTCTGTTGATATACTTTAAACCCAATTAACCAACCAACTTGATGACATCTTTTCATGCATAAAATTGTTTCTTAAACTAAAATAATATTTACACGTTTTCTGCAGTAAAACAATATATTCATTGATATGCAAATTTAAGCAATACTTAATAATTACATTTTCCATCACCTGATTTATTTTAAGAAGCAAATATACAGCAGTTACTATCAGACTATATATATATATATATATATATATATATATATATAATATATATATATTTATATATATATATATAATATATTATATATATATATATATATATATATATAGCTCTAGCTCTTTTGTACTCTCGTGCGTCGTCAGGAGCTATGCAATGTTGCAAGACCAACAGATAGGAGGGGAAATTCATCTGAAGACAGACTACATTCATCAGCGTGACAGTGTCAGCGTGCCTCGTTGTGCTCCCGGTTTTCTGGTGTTTTCACGGTCGCTCTTACGTGCTAGAACTTTAATTTGTGTCATCAATCCTATACGATACATCCCTCTAGCGCCTGGAACCAATCTTGGGCGGAAAACATTATATACTGAGTCAAAAAAGGAGAATTAGTGTGCACTACCTAGCAGAGTTTACTGCCAGAGGGGAATCATAGGCCTGTGTCCCATGTGAAAAAAATAATAATAATTGAACTTTGTGTCAGAGGAAAAGAAAGTCCCCCTGAAAGCATTGAGTATACATAGTTTTTATAGTGTATACTACAGTGGCTCCCTAGTATATTGATGATAAAGGCTAAAGTGTAAATTTGAAAACAGGTGAATTTGTAAATGAAGTGATAAGCCTTATAGAGGCAGGTGCAGAAGTCGCCAGAAACTTACCACAGGTCAGCTGTTTTTAATAATCTTCCTGGCCTGCTAGTGTACTCGCATATAATCTAGTGATACCAGTGAATAGCAGAATACAGTGTTGTAGTAGCAACTAACCAGTATTATAATGGTACTTAGTGGAGTGGAGTGACTTTCATTAGTTTCTTTTTCTTGAAATACCAGACGTTACTGTGAATTTCATATAACCTGTAGTTACCAGTGGTCGCAATATACACAACGAGAAGCAATTATTACTACAGAAAAAGCGTCCTTCCTCCAAAATTTGCACCAGTCAACTATAGTGATAATATAGCATTTACTGCTGGGGCCAGCAGTCACCGGCTCTTCAACACGCAAGTTATACTTTTGTATCAATCAAATCACATATTACTCGGGTAGATAATTTCCAGTAGATCCTTCATGTGTTAGCTCAAATCACCGACCAGTATGGTTTAAATAAGTGACCCACTGATCAGATCAGATAGACTGGTCCGAACCCTTGACTGGTCCGAACCCTTGACTGGTCCGAACCTGGACTGGTTTCAAACGGTTTCGTTGTGCACCACCATAGCAGGTTATTAATAGAATATTCAAGAGGTTGCTAGTAGAATTGCAGTAAATCAACCATTCAAATCATTATGAAGCTGTGTGTAGTCTGTGGTCAGTCAAACAAACGGGCTTCCACATGCATATATTGTCATTTCTGTGGAAATTGGTGTCACGCCCCTTGTGCAGATATCCAAGAACTAGCTACAAGCAGTATTAAAACAGGGAAGTGTTTTTGGGTATGCCCAAATGAGATAAATCTGTGGATTAAAATCACAAGGGTATTAAAAGAGGTCAACATCAAAGCTGCTTTCATAGAAAACCTGGAAGCTTTCTACAACAGATGGGAACATAAAAAGTCCGGGCTGAATGGTACTGCCCTTGATACTGGCCATGTAGTCAGAAACTGTAAGGCTGGAGATGATGTCCTGGTAGTCAGTAAATGGGGGGCTGATAGTGCTGTCCTGGGAGACAGTAATGGGGAAGCTGGAGGTGCTGTCCTGGGAGACAGTAATGGTGAAGCTGGAGGTGCTGTCCTGGGAGACAGTAATGGTGAAGCTGGAGATGCTGTCCTGGGAGACAGTAATGGGGAAGCTGGAGATGCTGTCCTGGGAGACAGTAATGGTGAAGCTGGAGATTTTGTCCAGGTAGTCGGGAATTATACGCAGGAAGGAATACATATAAATGACCTCATAGGGGACAGGAGCCATAGTAGGGAAACAAGTGTAGTCAAAGATAAGATAAAACCAATATTGCAAACTAGAAATACCGCAGGAAATAGCAAACAAGAGGACTCCACTAGCAATAGTGAGGATATATTACCAAAAACAACTGGTGGGAGCTCCATTGTTGGTGCTAGGGAGGATAGAAGTAAGACAGGGAAACATGCACCAACAGGGAATACAGTCACAGAAACCCAAGGCAAACGGAAACCAAGCCTGTGCACATACTATGCACTCGGTATCTGCTGGCATGGGAAATCTGGGAAAAAAAAAGATGGGACGTGCAACTATGACCACCCTAGGAAATGCCATGACCATATGACAACAGGAAAATGCAAACTCCCTTCCTGTAAGCTTTTTCACCCTGAACTGTGTACCTCTTCAGTACAGGAAAGACTGTGCTATAACTTAAATTGCCAGGCATACCATCTAAAGGGGACAAAAAGATACAAAACATCCAGGCCATGGGAAAACCTGGGTAGCCACAGCCACTCAAGAGGGAGAGGTTTTTTAGTGCCAGGAAGGAAAAAAAACTGGCAGGAAATGGCAGAAATCGTACACCATCGTGCACCATCCCCCCAATGAAAAGCAGGGGTGTCACTAGCACGTTAAGAGACCATACAATAAGTGTCAGGGGCCCGAGACTGTTCAACTGCCTCACAGCACACATAAGGGGGATTACCAACAGACCCCTGGCAGTCTTCAAGCTGGCACTGGACAAGCACCTAAAGTCAGTTCCGGATCAGCCGGGCTGTGGCTCGTACGTTGGTTTGCGTGCAGCCAGCAGCAACAGCCTGGTTGATCAGGCTCTGATCCACCAGGAGGCCTGGTCTCAGACCGGGCCGCGGGGGCGTTGACCCCCGGAACTCTCTCCAGGTAAACTCCAGGTGAAGCAAGATAAAAGATATCAGTGGCAACCCATGTCACAGAGGGCCACCATCGATATATATATATATATATAATATATATATATATATATAATATATATATATATATATATATATATATATAATATATATATATATATATATATCGTGCAGAATAGGTAAAACTTGCCATTTTGGCTTAAATAGCAATGTTCTTCTTGCCGAATAAGGCAAGCGAAAATTTGTGTATGAAATAATTTCGAAAAAATCGTTCTGAACCTAATGAAAAAAATATAATTCATAGTGTTTGTTTATTAATAAATTACTGTAAACTTATCTAAAATATATTTAGTTCGATTAGGCTAAATTAAATTACGCTTTTTATAATAAGGTTAGTAAGTTTTCTAAGGTTATTTTGATACAAAATTATTAATTTTATACATTAACATAAATGAAATATATATATATCTTTAAACGTATAAGAGAAAATTTTAGACAGCTAAAGGGGTAGAGTCTTAGCTCCTGTCCCCGCCTCTCAACTTAGTGCTTGCCTGATTCATTCCCTCCATGCATCGTCAGCCTTATCGTACCTGCTCCTAAAGCTGTGTATAGACCCTGTCTCCACTTCACCGAAATTATTCTTTCCTACCACCCTAAGACTGAAAAAATGCTTCTTGGCATCCCTGTGACTAATTTATTTCTTTAACCTCCAGCTGTGTCCCCGAGTTTTCGTTTCTCACCTCTCAAACAGCTTGTTCCTGTCTACCCTATTAATTCCCTTGAATAATTTATGCTTTTTCCATATATTCCCTGGTTCTTCTGTACTCCAATGTCGTTAGATTCGGTTACATTAGCCTCTCCTCATAGCCCATGGTTCTTAATTTAGGAAGAAGCCTTGTTGCGTACCTCTGCACATTTTTCAGTTTCTTAACATGCTTTCTCAGGTGTGGGTTCCATACTGGCGCTGTTTATTCCAAGATGAGCCTGACATATGCTGTATTAAGTGACCATAAAGACTTGAGATTCCCGATGGCTACTCTTAGATTTGCCGGGCGAGCATTGGCTCTGGACAGGCTTGCAGCCTGTCCAGGTTCCGTTGTAGTCCTGTCTGATCCTCATCCGATTTAATTCTCCTCAATAACTTCACATCATCTGCATATTGGA